AGTCCTGTACATTTATTGTGTTACCCATTCCACTGTATGTAATAAATGTCTTTGTGTGTGTGTGTGGGGGGGGGGGGAGTGAGTGAGATATTGCTTCTTAATCAATTTGTACCTTTTTTAAAGTTGTGTAATAAAAAGAGAGTCAAAATGAACATCTTTTAGCTTCAGGTGATACTAAAGTGTCCGTAACATGATAATCAAATCGTATCCGTAACATGCAGCTACTTCGTTGCGGAACTCTTTTGATATTTACATCAATATTTACATAGAGGACATCGCCATATAACTGACATTTAATCTAAATGCCTTTTTTCTTTTTCTTTAGTAATTTTTGCAACAAAAACTGACACAGTCGTCACACACGTGTAATGAATGGTGCAAATGGTGAAGATTTCCCGGTGTTTCAATAACTGCATACAAATACAACGAGTTCCATTCGTCAGCTTAGAAATCAATGATGTTAAGATTTGGGTTGACAGCCGGCCGTTTTTGTCCCGGTACCATAGACTTACTCTTCTTGTCCGGCGTTTCATGGCCTTTAATATGTGTAGGCTCACCAACGCGTGCGTAGCCAGTGCTCCAAGCCTTACCCGGGAAGGCAGGGGGTAAGGATAGGAAGGGTCCATCCCGAGGAGAGTTTCCCGGTGATTCTGGAACTCCAACATCAATATCACTGGTGCTTAAGCGGGAATTCTTCCCTGATTGTGGTTCTGGGCTGACTCTGTTTGATCTTAAACTTGTCTCCGACGTATTCTTTGCTAGTTTTGCTTTTTCTTCTTCTTCTTCTTTTTTGCGCTTATATCGACGGTATTTGCCGAAAATGAAGAGTGACAAACATCCGGCAACCAATGCTGCAGCAACTACGCTTCCAACACTGATACTAATAATTTCTGTCGTCGTAAGATCTCTTCCATTCCGAGCAGCAGAATTTCCTGCCAGCAATGAACTTTCTGTACTTGTCGTTACCGCAACATGCGTGGAAGAGGTGGTAGGAATAGCGGCAGTAGATGTAGTAGTGCTAGTAGAAGTTGTTTGGGCATCCGCCGCGGCCACAAAACTCGCCTGATCTGGATTGGAAGCGAAGGCCACATCTTCGTCAACAAGACCATCACCATCGTCATCAATGCTATTCAGGAGTTCTTCATCGAGAAAACCATCACAGTCATTGTCCAACCCATCTCCCGCGACTGAGGTTGTCAAACTACAGTAATCCCCTATAGGCGCCAACCGACATCCACCGGGATATCCGTAAGATTCGTACTGTACGTGACCATAGGCGAATGCGGAAAAAACCTCAATTGGTGACTGGTGGTATAGCGTATGAGTTCCAGGAGAAACTGACAATATGACTGCTGCATATTGCGTATTAGATATTTGAGTCCAATTTGTGGATACATCTCCTGGTGCTACAGGTGCCCCGTCAAGGTACAGCCCTGATAATTGGTCCATCTTGATTATTACGTTAATATAGTTTCTAAAAGCAGCTGATACGCCCTCTACAGTTGCCAGAGTGTAGTAGGAGTCGAATTGTTCAAGTGGAGGAAGCAGCATCATGAATGGGTCGGTTTGAGCACTGTCTGCACTGGCTGCAAATCAGAGAAGATTCATGAAGTGAATTCTGCATTTCATTTAAATTCTTTCCCAAGATTGTGAAACGAGTTAATACAACCAACGGTCAAAGAACGTTTAACTTGCACAGACGCTTACCAACACTGTCAATTTCCCACTTTTGTGGTTACTCGTGTTAAATTGTTTTTAGTCTATCTAAATACATTCTTGTACCAAAGCTATAAATACAATTCACAACAAAGCTGTGTAGTGGAGTAGCATCGTGAATGGTTCGCTTTAGGATATGAACATTTTTACGTCTGTTTACTATGAAGAAACGGCCCAGTACCCTTCTATTTCGATCTGCGACAAAAAGTAATTTTAGAAATTTCCAACAATTTGGCCTATTAGTTCAATGTAAGTTTTCCACTCGTGTCTTTTTTTAAACCGGCGTTTCAAATTTGGTCAAGTTAATTGGGCAATTGATTTTCATATGCTAATATCGGTTTTATTATCAAATGGGATCATTTAAAGCCAGACATATACATGTATACTTTCTCTCTTCTGCAACTACACAAGGAGGCGAACTTACCAGACTTTGAATATTGTACAACAAGGACTGCTTTGGTGGCCTCAATGTACAGGTAGTCGTTAGACGAGACGAGTAGCTGTTGGAATTCGCCAGCGTTCAAAGTGTACGTGTTGGTTCCGGTTGTCGTACCCTGTACTGTTACCGTGGTTCCTTGCACAGTGCCTGGATGGAAAGATAACAGAATTGTCATAACACATAAAAAGGACAATAAACTCATGTAGACAATATAATATCATTTATCGAACCGAAAAACACGAAAAGTGACCATCAATAACCTGAATACCAAGCAGGAAATACTGGAGCAGCATTGTTGTGGTATTTTGATGAGCAATTTTTAAACAAGAATTTGCCAAAAATATTTTTAATTCACGTAAGTCATACTAACCAATTACTCGAAACACATCGCCCGCGGACCTTTCTGACAGGGGTGCAGTGAGAAAGCGCCTCCCAAGCGTCGGGACGGAGGGAATCATCTCTTCTATATGGTCTGACGATCTGGAAGAGCTTGTACTTAGAAGCTCTGTCCTTTTACTACCAGACACTACCCCAATGGGTTTATCGGATGTGACTCGTGCCCCAGTTAGGTCCTCGTCACACTGAAGTTGAAACGTCTGACATCGGTCTAGCGAGACGGTGAAGGAATCGCCACTGCTATAGGTCTGTCCATTGTACGAACAGGAGAAAGAATGACTTGGCATGGTGAAGTTTACACTTGTACTGTTCTCCGTTGCTACCACTCCTAAAAGTAGGGAAAACGACAGAAAGTACAGTGACAATTTTTACCAATATTCACTCTACGTCATCAGAAAAGATTGCGATATGACAGACTGTGAGGTGGAGACCTATATGTACTGTACAACAGTTGCAGAAGAATAAAATAAAGAAACTTTATAACTTAAAAGTTAGAACAATTGGCTTCGGTTAAGCGAAACGTTGAAGGAATCGCTACTATTGTACGAACATGAGAAAGGGCGACTTGGCATTATAAAGGTGATGGTCGTGTCGTCTTCATTGGCATCCACACAATTTGAAGGTCTTATAACAAAGGGATTATGGCGCCAAGGCGAAGACCCACGCCTAAATGCAAGCGCTAGACAGTCTGAAAAAAATGTGAAAACAAAAACTACTTGACCATTCCAAAAATCAGCCACGATCTTTTTACCTATTTGTGCTGGTTCCTGCCTTCCAGAGACTGCGGTATTCCTGGGCCAAGCTGGCACGAAGTAATCCGTTCCTAACACGTCCGCCGGAATCACCAAAAATGAGTCCGAGCTGTAGTGCTCTTTGTTGACCGCATACACTATAATCTCGTCCGATGCCGTGATGTATATCCCTCTGGACTGGACACTGCTTCCAGTCATCCTTATATCTTTAGGAATCTGGACTATGCGGACTTGACCTTTTGAGACTGTTACCTGGATTAGAAAAAGTAATAAGTGACCAAATTGTTTAAAAGCATGCTGCCATGTGTCTTTGATAAACAGAGACTTGCGAGAACACCAGTACAAAGAAGCTCTTAACGTTGATTTGTGCGTTTTGTAGAATAAAGTCGCCATTGAATAAACTCATGTTCAAACCTTATAAATTAGCCTTAAATTCATCCAGTGTAAAAAAAAAAAATTAAAAAACTATGAAAGGAAATGAAAGTTTTACCGTTTCCCCGGCGTAAACGGAGCTGGCCAAAGGTGCTGTCACATTCACTGTGATGGTTTGGTTCAAACTCGTGGTAATGAAAAGTTCAAGACTCAGACTGTTAGGATTGTTTTCACCAAATGCCACGTAGAATTCTACACCTTGATTATCCGGTTTGTTGGAATATCCTTAATAACATAAAGTATTTTGCCATTTATATAAATAGGGGATACACAATACATATAACAAGCATGTATTACATATAACATAAAAGACAATATTGTTTTGTTTTCGTTTATTTGTTAATAAGTGATTTGTTAATTAGTCATTTAGAACCACCACACGTTGGAATATTTTAAAAGTTTAAATAAGAACTGAATAGTTTAAAAAGAAGAAAAAAATTATACGTAGCATATGCCGTTAATTCATGGTTGTTAACAATATGACCTTTTTCATGAACATAAAAATAACACTGCTTCTAATGACCATGATATCAGTAAAAGTTTAACTTAAAATTGTACCAAATATATTCTGAATATATCCTTTTCAAACGATTGGGTGTTATTAAGAAACGTGTACAGAAAAAAATTTGAGTTATAAAAAGCGAGCAGACTGTTGAGAAGAAGAGCTTTAAAAAACTATTTTGGCAAATATTTCCTTTTTGGCCGATAATTGTGACTTTGATTTTTTTAAATTTTCAGTTTCCAAAAACAAAAAAAGTCTCATATCTCTCGAAATTGGATTCAATTGAATCGCTCTAATATATCTATGAAAAATATATTCATTCTAAATGCGCATAAATTNGTGTGTGTGTGTGTGGGTGGGGGTGGGGGGGGGAGTGAGTGAGATATTGCTTCTGAATCAATTTGTACCTTTTTTGAAGTTGTGTAATAAAAAGAGAGTCAAAATGAACATCTTTTAGCTTCAGGTGATACTAAAGTGTAATCAAATCGTATCCGTAACATGCAGCTACTTCGTTGCGGACCTCTTGATATTTACATCAATATTTACATAGAGGACATCGCCATATAACTGACATTTAATCTAAATGCCTTTTTTCTTTTTCTTTAGTAATTTTTGCAACAAAAACTGACACAGTCGTCACACACGTGTAATGAATGGTGCAAACTGTGAAGATTTCCCGGTGTCTCAATAACTGCATACAAATACAACGAGTTCCATTCGTCAGCTTAGAAATCAATGATGTTAAGATTTGGGTTGACAGCCGGCCGTTTTTGTCCCGGTACCATAGACTTACTCTTCTTGTCCGGCGTTTCATGGCCTTTAATATGTGTAGGCTCACCAACGCGTGCGTAGCCAGTGCTCCAAGCCTTACCCGGGAAGGCAGGGGGTAAGGATAGGAAGGGTCCATCCCGAGGAGAGTTTCCCGGTGATTCTGGAACTCCAACATCAATATCACTGGTGCTTAAGCGGGAATTCTTCCCTGATTGTGGTTCTGGGCTGACTCTGTTTGATCTTAAACTTGTCTCCGACGTATTCTTTGCTAGTTTTGCTTTTTCTTCTTCTTCTTCTTTTTTGCGCTTATATCGACGGTATTTGCCGAAAATGAAGAGTGACAAACATCCGGCAACCAATGCTGCAGCAACTACGCTTCCAACACTGATACTAATAATTTCTGTCGTCGTAAGATCTCTTCCATTCCGAGCAGCAGAATTTCCTGCCAGCAATGAACTTTCTGTACTTGTCGTTACCGCAACATGCGTGGAAGAAGTGGTAGGAATAACGGCAGTAGATGTAGTAGTGGTAGTAGAAGTTGTTTGGGCATCCGCCGCGGCCACAAAACTCGCCTGATCTGGATTGGAAGCGAAGGCCACATCTTCATCAACAAGACCATCACCATCGTCATCTATGCTATTCAGGAGTTCTTCATCGAGAAAACCATCACAGTCATTGTCCAACCCATCTCCCGCGACTGAGGTTGTCAAACTACAGTAATCCCCTATAGGCGCCAACCGACATCCACCGGGATATCCGTAAGATTCGTACTGCACGTGACCATAGGCGAATGCGGAAAAAACCTCAATTGGTGACTGGTGGTATAGCGTATGAGTTCCAGGAGAAACTGACAATATGACTGCTGCGTACTGCGTATTAGATATCTGCGTCCAATTTGTGGCTACATCTCCTGGTGCTACAGGTGCCCCATCAAGGTACAGCCCTGATAATTGGTCCATCTTAATTATAACGTTAATATAGTTTCTAAAAGCAGCTGATACGCCCTCTACGGTTGCCAGAGTGTAGTAGGAGTCGAATTGTTCAAGTGGAGGAAGCAGCATCATGAATGGGTCGGTTTGAGCACTGTCTGCACTGGCTGCAAATCAGAGAAGATTCATGAAATGAATTCTGCATTTCATTTAAATTCTTTCCCAAGATTTTGAAACGAGTTTAACTTGCACAGACGCTTACCAACACTGTCAATTTCCCACTTTTGTGGTTACTCGTGTTTAATTGTTTTTAGTCTATCTAAATACATTGTTGTATCAAAACTATAAATACAATTCACAACAAAGCTGTGTAGTGGAGTAGCATCGTGAATGGTTCGCTTTAGGATTTGAACATTTTCACGTCTGTTTACTATGAAGAAACGGCCCAGTACCCTTCTATTTCGATCTGCGACAAAAATAATTTTAGAAATTTCCAACAATGTGGCCTATTAGTTCAATGTAAGTTTTTCACTCGTGTCTTTTTTTAAACCGGCGTTTCAAATTTGGTCAAGTTAATTGGGCAATTGATTTTCATATACTAATATCGGTTTTATTATCAAAATGGGATCATTTAAAGCCAGACATATACATGTATACTTTCTCTGCAACTACACAAGAAGGCGAACTTACCAGACTTTGAATATTGTACAACAAGGACTGCTTTGGTGGCCTCAATGTACAGGTAGTCGTTAGACGAGACGAGTAGCTGTTGGAATTCGCCAGCGTTCAAGGTGTACGTGTTGTTTCCACTTGTCGTGCCCTGTACTGTCAATGTGGTTCCTTGTACAGTGCCTGGATGGAAAGATAACAGAATTGTCATAACACATAAAAAGGACAATAAACTCATGTAGACATAATATAATATCATTTATCGAACCGAAAAACACGAAAAGTGACCATCAATAACCTGAATACCAAGCAGGAAATACTGGAGCAGCATTGTTGTGGTATTTTGATGAGCAACTTTTAAACAAGAATTTGCCAAAAATATTTTTAATTCACGTAAGTCATACTAACCAATTATTCGAAACACATCGCCCGCGGACCTTTCTGACAGGGGTGCAGTGAGAAAGCGCCTCCCAAGCGTCGGGACGGAGGGAATCATCTCTTCTATATGGTCTGACGATCTGGAAGAGCTTGTACTTAGAAGCTCTGTCCTTTTATTACCAGAAACTATCCCAATGGGTTTATCAGATGTGACTCGTGCCCCAGTTAGGTCCTCGTCGCACTGAAGTTGAAACGTCTGACATCGGTCTAGCGAGACGGTTAAGGAATCGCCACTGCTATAGGTCTGTCCATTGTACGAACAAGAGAAAGAATGACTTGGCATGGTGAAGTTTACACTTGTACTGTTCTCCGTTGCTACCACTCCTAAAAGTAAGGAAAACGACTGAAAGTACAGTGACAATTTTTACCAATATTCACTCTATGTCATCAGAAAAGATTGCGATATGACAGACTGTGAGGTGGAGACCTATATGTACTGTACAACAGTTGCAGAAGAATAAAATAAAGAAACTTTATAACTTTAAAGTTAAAACAATTGGCTTCGGTTAAGCGAAACGTTGAAGGAATCGCTACTATTGTACGAACAGGAGAAAGGGCGACTTGGCATTGTAAAGGTGATGGTCGTGTCGTCTTCATTGGCAACCCGAAATTTGGAGGTCTCATAATAAAGGATTATGGCGCCAAGGCGAAGACCCACGCCTAAATGCAAGCGCTAGACAGTCTGAGAAAAAAATGTGTGAAAACAAAAACTACTTGACCATTCCAAAAATCAGCCACGATCTTTTTACCTATTTGTGCTGGTTCCTGCCTTCCAGAGACTGCGGTATTCCTGGGCCAAGCTGGCACGAAGTAATCCGTTCCTAACACGTCCGCCGGAATCACCAAAAATGAGTCCGAGCTGTAGTGCTCTTTGTTGACCGCATACACTATGATCTCGTCCGATGCCGTGATGTATATGCCTCTGGACTGGACACTGCTTCCAGTCATCCTTATATCTTTAGGAATCTGGACTATGCGGACTTGACCTTTTGAGACTGTTACCTGAATTAGAAAAAGTAATAAGTGACCAAATTGTTTAAAAGCATACTGCCATGTACCTTTGATAAACAGAGACTTGCGAGAACACCAGTAGAGAGAAGCTCTTAACGTTGATTTGTGCGTTTTGTAGAATAAAGTCGCCATTTAATAAACTCATGTTTAAACCTAATAAATTAGCCTGAAATTCATCCAGTGTAAAAAAAATAAAAAAACTATGAAAGGAAATGAAAGTTTTACCGTTTCCCCGGCGTAAACGGAGCTGGCCAAAGGTGCTGTCACATTCACTGTGATGGTTTGGTTCAAACTTGTGGTAATGAAAAGTTCAAGACTCAGACTGTTAGGATTGTTTTCACCAAATGCCACGTAGAATTCTACACCTTGGTTATCCGGTTTGTTGGAATATCCTTAATAACATAAAGTATTTTGCCATCTATATAAATAGGGGATACACAATACATATAACAAGCATGTATTACATATAACATAAAAGACAATATTGTTTTGTTTTCGTTTATTTGTTAATAAGTGATTTGTTAATTAGTCATTTAGAACCACCACACGTTGGAATATTTTAAAAGTTTAAATAAGAACTGAATAGTTTAAAAAGAAGAAAAAAATTATACGTAGCATATGCCGTTAATTCATGGTTGTTAACAATATGACCTTTTTCATGAACATAAAAATAACACTGCTTCTAATGACCAAGATATCAGTAAAAGTTTAACTTAAAATTGTACCAAATATATTCTGAATATATCCTTTTCAAACGATTGGGTGTTATTAAGAAACGTGTACAGAAAAAAATTTGAGTTATAAAAAGCGAGCAGACTGTTGAGAAGAAGAGCTTTAAAAAACTATTTTGGCAAATATTTCCTTTTTGGCCGATAATTGTGACTTTGATTTTTTAAATTTTCAGTTTCCAAAAACAAAAAAAGTCTCATATCTCTCGAAATTGGATTCAATTGAATCGCTCTAATATATCTATGAAAAATATATTCATTCTAAATGTGCATTAATTGTGACTTACCCATTGCAGATCCCACTGCCAACCACAGATACAGAAAAAACGTTTTTCGTCGCGAAATCATTTTCATCGGACATGCAGCTGCGGCGAGCTACCTCGGTCCTCACTGAGAAAAATAAGAAATGCGCATTTTAAAAAGAATCCTGATTTGTACGTCAAGCATGGTAAAGCAGGCTATTCACCTGTTTCGTTTAAATATTGTTGTGAAAAATTGCACTTTGGGATCTTTTTTTTCTTCATTATGTTGTGTCTACCCAATTATCCACAATAAATAGTGAACATATAACTTTATTATGATCAACGTTTACAATCTCTGTTTCCTCGGCAATAAGCCTGGTTTGTGTACTAGACGCTTGATCTTAAAATTAATCGCATCAATAGAAGTTACCTTTTATTCTTAGTAGGGTCAAACAACTCAATCTGCTATGAACCAATGGGTCCCACGGATATATATTTAAAAAGTAAATCGAAGTCCTTTATATGTAATTTTATCTGTAGCCAATTACCAGAATAAAGAGTGTCATTGTCCTCATACAGTTTCATGGTGGGGGTCGTTTGCAGAAGTATAAGTTCAATATATCTTGTTTTTGGATATCATACTTTGCCACCTGCCTCTTTGTTGAAATTTTTGTTATGCACAAGATAACCTTGTCCTTGCTCCCTAATACCATTCAAATTTAAGATATTTATGTATACATAAATATTGAATATCATTTATCTCTGAAAATGAAGTAATGAAACACAAACCTTGTTCGCATTGTTAGTTTTGTTCTTAAGTTAAAATGCAATGTCTAAAACATTCAGTTCTGTTATTGCAAAAACACGGAAAAGTAAATAAAAAAACACGTGATGCTTAGAATAAAAACAAGTTCAGAATAATATTTTCATAACGCAGCATTAATGTTATTTTTCAATAGGTCTAAAATCATCAAGCCATTTTATTTTCAAAGCCCCAGAAGTTATATTTATAACTTTCTCAAGGTAG